CCCCAAAACCCCAAAACCCCAAAACCCCTTAGCGACGAATTTCTATAAACTAATTTTATTATTAATACAAATAATTATAATTTCCTTATTTTAATGAGAGATATTCAAAAGTCAAACACTAGTAGCATCAATATGGCATCCCCGAATAAGAAGGCAAAAGACCCATAAAACAATGATGATAACTTTGATGATTTTAGCCCAGATATTGTTATTGATGACAATCATCATCGTTAGAATCACTTGCATGTCATGGACTCAGACGACATTTAACTTACTTGGGTTGAGATGATTCCATAATTCCTATTTTTAATTGTTGTTGCTGTAGTTATCATTTTTGCTATCCTAGATTACTAAAAAGTTCTGCTCTGGCTTAAAAGTTTGATTGAGTGGGTATAAGAAGATCCAGCCAAAGCTGGATTTGTTATTATTGGAATTTACGTTTGCATGATAGTTCTTTCAATACCGATAACACCTGTTTCAATTCCAATAGCATATGCTTTTCATAAAGCATTCAAGAATTCTTATGGTAAATTACAATTATTTCTAATAAGCAATATACAGTGGGATTTAGTATCGGACTATTAGTAATTTCAACAGGAGTGCTATTAGGGGGTGCTACTGCCTTCTTAGTTAGTAAAAATTGAAGTTATTTATATCTTTAATCATAGGTCGCTACCTGCTACGAGGTACTCTGAAAAAGACATTGCTTAAAAGGATTAAGCATTTTAATGCTCTTGACCTTGCAATTACTTAAGAGGTAAATCTCATAATCGATTGCTTGATTATTAATTTAGGGAGCTAGATTAGTATTCTTAATGAGAATAACTTTTATTCCTTATTGTCTTTCATGCTACATACTTGGATTGACTTAGATTTAATTCAAGCAATTTGTTTTGGGAAATTTCGGTGAGATGTTTCATATTTTCGTATGGGTCTTTCTTGGCGCAAACTTGACACAGCTTGACATTTTTGAAACTGATAAGTCAAATGAGACCGATAGCTCAAGCAGCTCTCCTTTTGCTAAATCCTTAGTTTATATTGAAATTATTATTGCTATTGTGTTTAGTATATACGTATCTATCTGGGCTAAAAGGGAATTTGATAAAATTGTGGAATAAGATAATATACAATCATTTAGATCCTCTGATATCGAAGAAGGCACACCTCTCATTAATAGAAGTAAGTTTATATCAATAGAGTAATGACTATATTAATACTAAAATATAGGATAATTTACTGGAAGTGATATAGATAATTAGACCAATGATGATAAAGATGTTTGAAATTAGATTAGAAATATTTAAATTCAATTTAAATCCTGGAACCAAAATATGGATGGCGGGGTTTTGGGGTTTTGGGGTTTTGGGG